GGGTCTGCTCGCCATCACGAAACCCGGTGCACGGAGAATGCGTTTTCCCCGGATGCCGACTCGCGCTACACCCCGCGGGTGTACGGTTCATTGGTCCGGTGAAGAGCCCCTTCCCCCATCGGCGAAACCCCCCTTTACCTCGCCCGAGGAACCCCCACCCACCCCCACCCTTTCGACGGAGGCCCCGCGCACGCATGCCATCACGGCCCCAATCCCACGCCCCACCCCAAGCCTCCCCGCCCCGCCTTACCAGAGCCGGCGCTCCCCGATGCCCACGACTGATGAAGATGGAAGGGAATACCCGACCGAAGCGGCCACGGTGACTGGTTTCGGCTCTCCGGCAAGCACAACACCCGGTCGGCCTGCCCCGAAGGTTCGGGAATCCCCGTACCCCGCCAATACAACACCCACCAATCCGCCCATCACGAACTCCCAACCCATGACTCTCGCCCATCCCCGCCCAACGGTGAGCCCCCCCTGCACTCTCACTCTTGTGGGCCAGATACCGGGGATCATGCCGACCGCGCCTTTGTGCCCTGCGTCCCCCTCCACGATACGGCCGGTACGGATCCGTCTCCCCGCGCCCATACCGGGTGCCACTTCCGCCCCGGCTTGTCCCCCGCAGATCGGCCGCCTCCTCGTAGCGGCTGGGCCCATCCATCTGTCGATCGAGCCAACCCTCTCTATCGGAGCTATCCGGGCCGTTGTGACAAGCACGAGGACACAAACCCCCGAATCCCTTTGCTCGGGTTCGCATCATGGGGATTGTTGGGCTTGCCGCCTCTAGAAGCCGACAAGAGCGATAGAGGCGGGTGGAGCGGGCCAAGGCGCGCCTTAAAGGGCTCGGTCCGCCCGGAATCACTGCCATTCATGCACCGAACCCCGGCCGGAATACCACTCCCCCAACCGAGCCAGGGGAAAGAAAAGTGACCACCCGGCAGAAGAGAGGTGATGAGAGAGAGAGAGAGAGAGAGAGAGAGAGAGGAGGTATTATTATTATTATTATTATTATTATTATTATTGATTGACACCGAAGCTGGGGGACTCCATTCACCCGGGGGCACCTGGTTTGCTGTGTCTCTGGGCGGCGAGCGGGTCGATCGGAAAGGGGGGCTGGCTGGGGGGATAGCCGACGTGCAGTGCGGTCCAATCGTGTGCCGCCGGGAGTGGTGTGGGGCCGGGTGCGTGGGCGGGGAGAGGAGCCGCTTTTCGTCGGATCGATCGACTGCTGTGGCTGTGGCTGCGGCTGGTGTCCGTCTCGCTCGTGCGGGCATACGCCGGTTCGGTGTGCCGATCGCCGGGGTGGGGGGAGTCGGCGGACGACGGACCCCGGCGGTGATTGATATGATCGCCGGTCCTCCGGCCAAACCCCCCAAAATCGATATCGAGAGGATCGTCTCCAAGCCCATGACCGACAGCGCCGGAATCGCCGCCAGCGCCCCCCCCATGTGGTCACCCCACTGCGGGTGGTTCCACGCCGCCCCGGTGCCGTGACGAGTCACGATTCCCACCATCGCCGTATCCCCGATCCCCAGGGTAACCTCTCCCTGATCCGGCTCGGGCTCAGTGAGTGCACCAACCGGGTGAGTGCTGCTGCACCCGGCGGCGATCTCCGCACATGTCACTCACTGTGCGCCCGCCCTCTGCTCTCCCGACCCCCGAGTGGGGTTTGTGACGCCGTCTGCTGCGCTCGGCCGGGGGCCGTCTCGCCTTGGGCGCGGGCACGCCCGTCGTCGGCTTCTCCCCCATCCCACCGACGGCCGCCCACCGGTCGGCGTGGGGCGGGCCACAGCAAACATCGGCGCTTCTTCCGCTCTCCGCTGGTTTTTGCGTGGGGCGGCCGAAGAAGCCGTTCGCCCTCCTCCCTCCCCTCTCTGGCTGGGAGGCGTCTGCCCGCGCCGACGATGGGGCAGCAGACAGTGGTGCTGCTCCCTCCCTGGCGGTTGGCCGCCCCTCATCGGTCGGGGGTGGAACGGCCAAAACCGCGCTGGAGCTGTGCTGCCCTCCGCGGGACGGGGAGCAGCCCCTTTCGGCCGGCGGGGACGACCGTCTCGTGCGGTTTTGGGCGTCGGAAAACCAGTGACTGTGCGCCGATTCTTCTTCTTCTTCTTCTCCTTCTTCCTTCCCTGGGAAAGTGAAACACCGACGACCCCGAGCGCGGGGGTATGGCCCAGGCAGGACAGTCGTGCCCGCCCGTCGACACCCAGTCATGCTGCCATCGGCGGCAGCGGCCGTCGGAGGACCCGCCGGACGGCCTACCGGTCGACGACGCACCCCCGCCCGGCTGGTGCTCCCGACGAGCCCCACTCCGACGGCCGGGCGAAACAGGGAGGAGCACCAGCCGCGGAAACCAGCCCGGGCGGAAGAAGAAGAAGAAGAAGAAGAAGAAGAAGGGTGGGCCGTCTGCCGAGCGGGGAAATGCGCCTTCTTCCCGGCTTTACGGTGTATCGGCGGTTCGTTCCACTGCTGCCCGGCACCCGCACTGGCTTTCGGACGAACAACGGGTAAACCAGCCCCAAAACGGCCGGCTGTTGGGCGCGTCGGGAGCACCAGCCGGTGTGGGGCGGCGCGGGAGGCTCGAGCTTTTCGACACCCGCCGATCCGCCGAAGGTGATCGCCGCTCGGGTGGGTTTGGGGGGAGGTTCTTCGATGATCCGCTGGGAGTGCGGGGATGATACGCGGAAGAAAAGGTCGGATAGGCAAAGCGGGGCGGAACAGCTCCAACCGGGGGGCGGAGAGCTCGATTGTCGCCACCGCCCGTTCAAGCCGACCCGCGCCACACCCACACCATCCCCCCGGCCGGTGTGCCGTTCGCCGGGGCTGCCCGAGTGGAGCTCCCCGCCCATGCCCGGACCGAGGCGGGCGGGGGTTCCGGCCAGGAGAGAAGAGAGACGGGGCTGCCCCTAACTGGATGGCCAGAGACGGTAAACCGAGGCAGTCCTCCCCCCTCGGACAGAAACGATAGTCGGAAATCGGCTAACCACCCCACCCGCGGGACGGCGGCCCATGCGGCGGGATGTCCGCTTTCGGCTCGTCTCCGATACCACCCCCCAACCCGGAGCGGGAATCGCCGATCGCCCGGGGGAAAGAAAGAAGGTTGCCCCAGAGCCGGAGCTCGACTTGATTCCCACCGACGAAAGACACACGATGTCGGTTTTCGTGGGCCGTGTGCGGCGGGGTGGGGTGAGAAGGGAGGAGCGGGCGGTTGGCGACGACCGAAAGAGTGGGCGGGTGGCAGTGGGTCGATCGGAACCGACGGTCACACCGATAGCGGCGCCGCGGTCGGCCGAAACACCCCCGCCGATTCGAGCGGTCGAGTCGGCTTGGGTGGAAGGAGCAGCTCCCCTGGGGCAAGAGGACCCGGCCCGGAAGAGCCTCAAAAATGGCCTCTCAAAGGCGTTCGAAGGCCTCCTAGCGGCGACAAATAAGGCACACAACCATCTATCAGTCGGGCGGCTCGACAGAGGCCTCTAGACAGCCAAAAATGGTATACTGGGTCGATCGGCTCCACCCCGACCGCCACCACTCCCTGTCATGGGGGGGCGGGCCTCCCCGGAAATCGGGAGTGTTGGGCGGCTCGTCCGGGGGCGCACCCACCCGGCGAGGAGGGGCATCGATCGGGGCGGGTGCGTGTGCCGGTTTCCCGGCGCTCGGGGGAGCAGCCAGCAGACCCAGCGCGAATCGAGTCTGGAAGACGCAGCAGAGTGCGTCGGTGTGCAGACCCTACCCGGGGAGTGGACAGCAAGCACACCCGGAAACGGACGGGAGCACCGCCGCAGATAGCCGATGGACAGACGTCTGGGAAGAGGAAGTGGTATGCACCTCCTCGGCGGGCCTCATTGTCGTCGGAAACCCCGTCCAGCCAGAGAGAGACGGACAGCAGACCGTCGAGAGCGGGGTGGGGTTTGAGTCGGGGCGGGGAAACAGAGGGAGGTGCTCCGCTTGGCCCCCGCCGTGCGGCAGTGAACCCAGTGGCACGCAAAACCGGGTGGTGTGGGCGAAAGGCCGAGACCGACCCGCCGCGGCTGGGGGGAGTGGTGGGCCGAGGGCGATCGGAGGCGGGGCGGCTTTGCCTCCGAGTCCGGGCAGCGGATGGGCCAACCGAGCCGACGATGCGCATACCGACCCGGACCGGGGCGGGTGTGCGGCCCCCACCCCCGGCGAGGACCATCCCAAGCGGCGGGGAGTGCCTGGGGGGCGAAACCCGCCATCGAAGACCCCGATCGATCGATAGCCGGCCTCTATCTCTTCAATCAATCAATCAATCAATCAATCATCCATCAAGGAAGGATCGGGCCGGCTTGAACGGGGGGCGGGGGCCGAACCCGACGACCGGGCCGACGACGAAAAGCAAGCCGACTGCCTGCACGGGTGTGTGTTTAGGCCGAGGAGCTGCCTGCTCCGTTGTCGGCGTCCTTGGTTGGGGGGCGGCGGCATCATCATGCCCCCGACCGGTGCTCGACACCGCGGAGACCACTGTCTTCGGCGTTTGATGACGACCCCGAGCCGACCACCGACGAAGCAGCCGCACACCCCATGCCCGGCGGAACACCCCACGAGCTCGTCGGCGTGTTCCTTTTCTTCATCGCCCGTTGTTCGGCCGGCGGGGTGTGTTCTTCTTCGATGATACCCCGCCCCTACTTCCGCCCAACACGGCATCATCCAACAAGCTGCTCCGGATTCCAGCAGGTAAGTAAACCACCCGCGCAGTCGCGTGACCCCGGCGCGGCCGTCCTCCGCCCGGCGGCACTCCCCGCCATCTGGGCCAGTCACTCTCGCCGCTGCTTTGGGTGGTGGTGGTCGCCGCTCGAGACACCTCCGCTGCTTCCCGCTTTTCCTCCGTCCGCGGCACACATTCCAATCGATCCGCGCTGGCCCAAAACAAGCAGCAGTGCACTCGTCTTCGGGGGCGTGGCCCGCGTCGACCCCCGCCCGCTCCTCCTCCTCCTCGTCGGAGGGAGAAGGGGCTTTTCGTCGACCACGACGTGGACGGGGGGCTTGGGCGCCGCTGGCGGGGTGTACCTGGTATCATCGCCAGTGCTCTGTGGGGGGGTTGGGTGCAAACAGCGCGAGCAGGCAGGGTTGTTTCTTCTGCGGGTGGGGCTCTCGCCCCGGCCGGATAGCGACGATGATCATCATCGGCTTCCACGCTCACGCTCTTCCCGGGGGCGGCCCACGCACCGAAAACGGGGAGGTTCAAACCACTGGGTCCACCCCGCCGACGACGCCCGGTGGCACGGTTGTTGGGTTTTGCACTTTCCTTCCGCCCGCCCCCGGTCGCACCCGAAAGGCGGGGGTGTGCGCCACACCGGAAGGGGTTTTCGATTAGCGGATCCGCGAAAAACCGCACACCCCGACCCCGTCACGCCAATCGATCGTGTCGAGCGCCCCGATCGCACCGCCCGCCCGGTCGTCGGTGCCGAACGAAAGCAAGCGGACGTAGTTATTAGGGCGAACGCCGCGAAGGCGGGAATGAGCTGGACACGATTGAAGAAAACCCCCGACCCGCCCCTTCCTCCAAGCAGCGGCGCTCGGACCGACCGGCGGGGAAGGAAGGAAGGAAGGAAGGAAGGAAGAAGGACAACACGCCGCCTTCTTCTTCTTCTTCTTCTTCTTCTTCTTCTTCAAACCCCCCGCACGAGACAGCAGCAGACCAGAGAGCCTCATCACCATCGCCGGGGGCGTGCACACGGTTTTGGGAGAGCCCCCGCCGATCCGGTCGTCGGCGAGGTCCGGCCGGTCGTCCGGTTCGACCAGCCAGCAGAGCGACACGCGACACGATCCAAACGCACGCGGAAACGTGTGGCCCGTGTGGGCGGGCGGGGCGGGGGCCGGCCAGGAGAGGAGGGAGGAGCAGCAGCAGCAGCAGCAGCAGCGGTGGAGCGAGTGCCGGTTCTTCGGGCGGGAGTGGAAGGGTTTGGAGGACGGCCATGGCCGCGCGTACTCTCTGGCTGGTTTGGGCGGGAGCCGAAGCCGGTCGTCCGGTGTGCGCCGCACGGCCCGGCGGGGTGTGTGCACAGCGAGCGGTCGGGGCCCGGCCGGCGGGGGTTGGCCCGACCGTGTTTCTACCGCCCAATGCCCCCCAGCAGCCCGAGCGGGACCAGAGAGGGCCACACACCGGCCGAAGAGAGAGACCCGGTTTGGGGGAAAGTGAGTGATTGTTGCCGCAACAACCCAACCGATGGGGGGGCCTTCATCCATCGACGGAGGGGGGAAGGAAAGAAAACCGGGATGGGGGTTCGGGGCGGTGCCGGCGGGGAAAGACCGGTGATTCGGTGCACGGCTTTTCGTTCGTCGGCCCCCGACCGGCGGAAGACCGACGAGATATCGATATCGACTTGCTTGCGGCACGCCCGCTAGTGGGTATGGTCGGAATCGGGGAGGGCACGATCACACCGGGCTCGGCGGGAACCCCGGCCGGAGGATCTGCTGGTCGGTGGCCGGACGGCGCCAAAGCCGGGAAGGGAGAGACGGCCGCCACGATGGCCGGCGGGGCGGGCAGTGCTCCTCCCTCCGGCGGAGGGCGAACGGCCCGCTTTCGTTTACCCCCCAAAACCCCGTCCGTGTGCGACGGACGGCGCTGATCCTGGCCCCAATGGCCAGACCGAAGGAAAACCCGGGCACTGGCCATGGGAGGAAAGCCGGTCGTCCGGTTTTGACTGCTGGTGGGCGCCATGACCCCCCAACAAAAGCCAGCCGCACCGAAAACGGGGCAGCACACGATGACCGGGTATCCCCGCCCGCATCCCACACCCCGCACGGCTGGGTGGGCGGGCGGTGGCCCACAAGGCGGCCGAACCGCGCATCCCGCTCGGCTCCACCCCAGCAGCCAGTGATATCGTCCGTCGTCGGGTCATCCGGGTGGTTCGTTGCGGCGGGTTTGGGAAAGGGCCATGGCAGCGGCGGGTATCCTCCTCCTCCTCCTCCTCCTCCTCCCTCCTTTTCCCTCCCTCGCCTCGGTTTTTGGGGGTTTAGGGAAACCGAGCCGGTCGGGCGGGTCGGATGGGGGTGTAGTAAACCGGCCCGGGAGCGGCAAAGGGCAGAGGGTGGACATCGCCGGGGCCGGCTCGGGTCATGGGGGAAAACCGGAAACGCTAACACGGTCCCCGGTGGGACCAGCACCCGCAGCGGCTCGCTCGGACCACCCCGCCCAGCACGGGCAGCCCGCGTTGGCGGGTTTTTGGGGTTTGGCCATGGGAGGAAAGCCGGTCCGGGGTGGGAGGCGCCGACGGTGGGCGGGTACACGGCCACGGGGGCACGGACGGGTTTTTGGGGAAAGCGGGGCTTAGGGGGAATGGTCGGCGGGATGAACAACCGTCGGTCGTCTGCTGCTCCCCGGCCGACCACCGGCGATCGGTGTCACCACGGCGCTCGGGAGTGGAAGCCGGGGCTGTCTGCACCGGATGTCCGAGTCGGGGGACGACCAACCACGGGGAGGCCATCCCACCGAACCGGCCCCCATCATCCGGCTTGGGCGGGGCAGTGGACGGAGGACGACCCACCGCGTACGCCGGCGGGGAGATGGGGGCCGCCGGAGGGGGAGTGTGCCCGCTCGGGCTGCTGGAGGGCAGAGCGGCTCGCCCGCCCCTTCTGGGCCCAGGAGGGTCGAAGAAAGGACGACCGGGAGCGGAGGATTGGGACCAGCAAGCACACCGCAAACAAACGGTTTGGCGACGAAGGGAGGGGGGCGGAACGAGGAACACAAGCAAGTGAGACAGTGTCTGCACCGTCTCGGGCCCGTGCTGGGTACGACGGACGAGTTTGTTGGGTGGTCTTGTCTGTCCCCACTTGCGCCAGTGGGCGAAGCCGCACAACACACCCTCCTGGCTGCTTCGGGGGTTTCCGCCGTCGCTCGTTCGCAGGAGCAGGTATCGGTGGGTGTGCGCCCCCTCCCTGCTGTGTCATGCCACGCTCCCCGAAAAACCCACTCCACTCTCCGCAGAGGGCCCCATGGCCATATAGTGGGTAACTGGGAACAGCGGGGGGGTATGTGGGGGCATCGGTGTGGTACGGGCGACAGTGATGGCTGGGACGATGGGGTTGTCACGATCGAGTCGGGGTGGGATCATGTGCTCCCCGGGAAGGTCGGAATACATGGGTTTCACCGGCCGTGGGTGGTGAGAACGACTGATAGCGCTAGTGACCACTCCCAGACCGGCGGGCACGTCGGCCCCGCAACGGATAGCCCCAGGAGGCGGATGGGATTTGCTGCGGGATCCGGCTAACGGCGGTATTCCCGCGTATGGAGACGTCGTAGGAGAGGGGGTGATGGCGGATGGAGGATGGGGTTTGCCGAACGCGCCCGGATCGCCCAGGTATTGGCTCCGGACCGGCCGTACAGCGCGGGGCGGACCGGGTGCATTCACCGTCATGGACAGATGGGTCGATGGGCCAATCGGTGGTGGTTGAATGCCCTCCATTGTGGTCCCCCCCGCGAAGCCGATACGGGGGTGACCGACATGGCCAATGGGACTGTGGGCAGCAGGTCTTTTGGCTTTTTGCTGGGCCATGGCCGCTACTGTTCCCGGGATCATTGGTCCGATGCTGGCGGGGAGCGAGGGTGGTTGCCGATCATGAATCCCCCCGACGGCCGCACCAGACCCAACAAGCCGGAGAACCAGACCGGCGATCATCCCGCATGCGGCTCCCGGGCAGAAGGAGCGACCCGCGACCCACCGGCCGCGGTACCTACCGGGTCGGGGGGGGTCATGCTCCCCGTCAGTCGCGGCGGGATGGTCAACGTACGGGTAGGGGGTCATGCCCCGACCGATGAGGGTGGCGGTCGTGCACACAGCGAAGCACCCGCCGATACCATCCGCCCGACGACCGGGCCAGCGCCCCAGCCGCGCACTGAAACCCCACCCTCCTCTCGGTTTTACCACCATCCCCACCGCCCGTTCAAGCCGACCGCCCTGCCCGCTCTCCCCCGGATCGCCCCGGGTTGGCGCCCCTTTCTGTCCGGTAGTCGGCGCCGTCTGGATACCCATATTCTGGGCTGTCCTCCTATGGTGGAATAGTCGTGCAGGTGCTCTATCGGGTCCCAATATCCCCCACGCTCACCGAAACCGGCGGCCACTGCGCAGACCCCACACGGGTGCGGGTCGCCCTGCGGGTTGCCTCCGGCGGCCGCTCGGCGGGCAGTGCGAACCCGGCGACCGCCACGGTCGGAACCCGGTCAGTCGACTGCACCCCGATTCGAGTCCTCAACCAGCGGGACACGGCGAGTTGCTCCGAGCACGGGTTTTTGGGGGGTCTTCACAGTGCAAGAATGATGATAGGGCACTCCCCGCGGCCCACACAGCCCCCCCGCCTCGATTGACCCGCTCTCCACCCTGAGGACCCCCGAAAACCCCACCCGCTGCCGCCCCCGTCGTCACCCCCGACCCAGCCACTCTCGGGTGCGCTCCCCCCGCCCGACCGCTCTCCCCGGGCTTGGGCCCCAGCGCCCGGGCCGGGGTATCGCCCGCCGACCTCGTGCCGGGGAGCAGCTTGCGGGAACACCATCCCCGACAGGCGAGCGGCGACACGGGTCACCGCTGGCGGAAACCCGGTCTTCTGCGGATCCGCCCCGGCCCATGACCAGCCGTGCCCCGCCCCACTCCGCCGAGGAGAGCACCCCCGCTCCCCGCTGCAGCCGCTGCCGGTTCCGCCCAACCGTGGTGTAGTAGGGTGGGAGTCGAGGAGGGTGAGTGGTGATGGTGTGGGGTGCGGTGGGGCGGGCAGGGGAAACAAAGCGGGTCGACCGGCTCTGGGGGGGCAGCCAGCAGCGGGTCGTCCGCCGGCCCATCTCCGGGTGCTGTTGGCCGTCTATCGGGCAAAACCCCAGCCTGCTGCCCGCTCTCTCCCGGGCAGTGGGTTCAGCCCAAAAGGGGAGGAGCCGCCCACGGAGCAGCCTCTCCTCCAGAAGACGCCCCGTCGGCCCGAGCCGCTCGGATCATCGCACTCCAAACCCCTCGCTCGCTCGCTCGTTCGTGTTGAAGGCTCGTCGGTCAACCCAGTCCGAAAAAGCCGTCGTGCTCGGCGTGCCCGCTGCGAGAGTCTCACGAGGAGCTCCACCCTCGTGAGCCGGTTTTGGGTGCACCTATCCTCCGGCCATGATCCTCGGCGGGGTGTTTGGGCCTTGTGCTCGGTGGCGCTCCCTCCCCTGCTTTGGCTGGGTCGGCGGGGCATGGCGAAGGGGCTCCTGGTTTCTTCGTGCTGCCCCCCTCCCAATGCGCCGCTCCGGACGCGCCGATGCTCACAAGAATGAACAAGCCCGTGTCCCCGACCGCGGGCAGCGCCGCGTCCACAACAACAGAAGACCCCCTGTCTGCTGCCGGTCGGAGTGACGCATCATGGGAACGATGGTTCGGCACACGGACCATATTCGCGGGGATAGCTATTTTGGGTGCAGTGGGGGGGAATGCCGTGGCCAGTGTGGGTGGACCCTCGTAAACATCGGGTGCCCGCATATAGAGGATCGGTGCTGGAAGGCTGGGGATACCCGAGAGGAGGGGGGGCCTGTTGACGGCGGTTCCCCTCTATAGGCAGCATAGCGAAAAACCGCCCTTTGACCTCTCCCTGTCGACCGTGCGTGGCCGTTGGTCCGATCATGCGGCTCCTCGGTGTCGGACTGCTTGCTCTGCACGTCAGGGCACCCTCGGAAATGGCCCGCGCGGGGTTTTGTCGACAGCCCGGGGAAAGAGTCCATACGCGCAGAGTGCGGCACTCTGCCCGGCCCGCGGCGGACACCCGGTCTGCGGGTCAACCGGCGGGGGACGTCTGCCCACCCGCCCGGATACGGACGGGGGAAGCCGGCGACACGGACCGGAGGGGGCCGGTCGGGCGTGGGACGGGGCGGGAAACCCCGAACGCGGCGGGGGCCTCCTTCCTCGTGCGGCTCACCGACCGCCGGCACACCTCAAAACGACGAACACCTCCCGTGCCGCCCTCCCTCCGAGTCGCCTCCACACTGTATGTGCTCAGACACCCCTTCTTGGGCTTTTCGATCGTCGTGCCGCGCACGGTGTGACATCGGATGATCGGTTTGAGCCGTGCCAGCCGTCCTGCTTCTGGCCTTCCCCCCCTCCCACCCCGATCGACCGGCTCCCTGTCCACCCCACCTGCTGGATCCGGATCGGGAAGAGCCGACCCCGCGCCTTCCCGTGGGGTTTTCCGGTCATGGCATGGGGGGGATAGCCGGAGCGGGCGAGCCGACATCAAACCGATAGCCGTATCCGAGGGGCCGATAGCGGTGGATGGGTCGAGCCGTTATCGGGGTCGGGGTACTCCGCCCGATCTCGCCGGGGTGGGCGGCGACCTCTCTGCCCGTAGCCGGCCGTAGCGGCCCTCTCCATTTCCGCCCGCAGCGGAGATCCTCGACGATGATCGTCTGCAGGGGGCAACCGCAATCGGGTCTCTTCAACACCCTGGCGGTGTGCATACACTGCAATCGGACGGGACACGACCGATGACTGCAGCCAAGAAGGGAGGTTCCCCCGACCGCCGGTACGGGGAATGACGGGCGGGGTCGTCGGGCTCTGCTGGAACCCCCCCAGCAGTCATCCGCGCACCACTCCCCACCGGACCCGTCTCCAGCCGGAGAGGATCGTGTCAGTCAAGAGGGTGGGGTCATCGGCGGTCGTCGCGGGTCGTCGGGTGGGCTTGGGCCCGGGCATAGGGTTCTTCTAGAGCCAAAAGCCATCGGGGAAGCGGCAAAAAGCCAGAGGAGCACAAAACCGCACAGGGCCCAGCAGGGCGAACGGAGACAGTGGGCACCTGGTGGGAGATCCGGGTAACGAAACCCACCTCGGTGCGAGCCCGACACCCCCATGTCCCGCCGGCCAGTGGGCGGTGGTCGGAGTGTCGCTGCTGGCTGCGGTCGGCGGGGTTCTCTCCTGCCTGGTGTGCAGTGGGGTGTGGCCGGCGGGTTGGCGCCCCATTCAGCAGGAGCGGGTTGGGGCTGCTCCTCTCCGACAGCAAGGGCGGGGTGGCGGTTGGTTGGAGAGACCGCTCGGAGCGGGGGGGGACTGCGGTGATCTTGAAGGGGGATCCGACCACGATGCGTGGGATCCCGATGATCGGTATACCCGTCGACGGATCCGGGACTCCCCACGAGCGGGTGAGGGCGGGGATCCCCGATTCCTCGGAGTTCGTGACTCCGGTCGATCCATGCACCGTGGGACGGATGGGGTTGGCCCACACTGCACCCGCGCTGGGGGACGGAGCACGTGCGCACGACATACCCGAACCGTGCGCCCGATCGCACGAATACGGCTCCACGATGACCCTGTTGTGAACCCCCACCCCGCCCTCGGACACCCCCACCAGGTAGGAGGATGCCCCGTCCCGCAGGCGAGTCTGTGGGCGTGCTCCTCTCCGGAGCTAGGCGCCGGTGGGCGGGGAAGAGTAAATCCGGTGCGGGGAGCCGGCGGGGAGCCGAAACGACCCCGAACCGGACCCGCCGGAGACGGTATACGGTCAGTCAGGTGTCGACCACTCACTGGGGGCCAAGCAATCACCGGTCGGGGTGGTCCGGAACACGACCGGTGCGCTCGAGCACCAGAGTCGCTGCTTTCTGGTCGGCTCCGTGATCGGATGATGAAGAGCCCGCAGCACGAAACACTCCGAGATGATCGGCTTTTGGGCTCTCTCCGGCATCGAGCCGCGGGCGGGCCTTCCGGTCGTGTGCCCGGTTCCGAGGACGGGGGGATGGTCTGGGGTTTGCCCCCGAGCGATGATATCGGGGAGCGGGGTCATCGGCTATGCCGCTCTGACGGGGTTGGAGGGCGGTGGCGGTTCGAGGGGATCGACCCAACCCCGCCCAACCCACCAGCAGGGCCAGTCAGTCTCGAACACCCGGGGAAGATGGGGAGGGCGAGCGTTGGGGTGGTCCGAGCCGATATGCCCATGGCCGGTGGTTTTTCGGGGTTTGGTGCGCCGCGCGGCACCGGCTTGGGGTGGAGGGACACAAGAAGGGGGATAGGGGGTTTCTCGGCCGGCATGCCCCCCCAAAAGGCCGCCCCGAGCAGTTGTTCGGCCTGACCCCCACGGACTAGCCGGAGAGGCCAAGCCAAGCTCGACCCCGGACACGAACGGACAACACCTTTTCGACCGAAGAAGGCATTCCGGTCGTGGGCCGACGGGCGGATGGCCGGCAAACCGGGTCGGGGGGCGCCCACTCTCCCCGGCCGTTCCGGGTGTTGGGCGGTTGTTGGGTCGGGAGCGGTCGGGCAGAGAGATAGGGCGGGTGGGGTTGGGTCGAGACAGGGAGGGGTCCGCCACCAGTGGGCCCCACAAAAACCCCGAGATCGCGGTGCTATGCCCCATAGAGAAAGCCGCCCCGGGTGTTCAGACACCCCCGGCCGCCCCCCTCCCTGTTCTGATCGGTTCATGACTGTCATAAAACCCAAAACCCGGCATGAACACCCCCGCCCTCGAGCACAAGGACACAGAGTGGGCCTGCAGCCCCGCGCAACACGCCCCCATGGTCTTGGCTGGTGGGCTTTCCCGGGCGAGGATGGTCCCGGGGAGGGTGCGCCTGGGAGAGGGTATTTCGGGCCGGCTTCGGTTGGACATTCGGGGTCTCTTTTTGGTGCTGCGGGGGCATGGGAACGTGGGGTCTGGGGCTCCATGGCGGTGGGCATGATCGGTGAATCAGACGCCGATATCAGCACCGGCATTCCGGGAGTGGGGGGTGGGATGGGGGCGATGGTTTCGGAAGCCCGCGAGGTGTCCCTTCCCCCGTGATCCGCGGTGGGCATGATCGTGCCGGCCGTCCCCACTAAGGGGGAGGTGTCACGACAGTGTGTAGAGCTGTCCGTGAGGAGGGTGTCATGGATGGAGTTAATTGTTATGGGTATGCCGACCCCGACCAACACGGTGGCGAGCAGAGGCCGGCGGGTTCGATACCCCTGGGGCGGCATGAGCTGCTGGTCTTCCAGGCGTATTATCCCCAACCGAACCACACGTGCGGGCCGACACCGCGCAGAGCCTCGCATGTGGCTCGTCCGTTGTCCGGGGGAGGGTCGCCTCCGGGGAAGACGATATGCTCTCGTCGGATTGGGGGTGGGACGCTCTCGGGCCGATGATCCTCCCGTCCCAGGACCCCGGCCGTGCATCGGCTATCAACAAACAGCCAGCCCCTTCGCTGGCAGCAAAGCCCATCCCCGCCCACGCTCCTCCCGGACACGCCACAGCCCTTCCCGGTGAAGAAGAGCATCATATCGCCCACCAACACCGAAACCATCCCCCGCTATCGCCTCGAACGAGCAGCCCCACCAACACCGACACACGATGGCCCCGACTGCCGGCCCAGGAGAGCCCATTCCCGGGCGAAAACCCGCCTCGCTTGCCGCATGCGCCCTGTGGGCCACGCTTGTACCGGGCGAGGCGGGCCAACAGCCCCAACACAAGACGAAGAACACCCCATGCATCATGTGCATGCCGGCCGGGTTCGCTTTGATCGATGGGCGCGCCGCATGATGCCCACCCGGAAAGGGGCCGCTCCGACACCCCATTGTTCCCTGTGGGCCCAGCAGCCCTGCATGCGTTGATCCACGCCGCCCCATCGTCGGGAGTGTTCTCCGTGTGCGCGAGAGAGACCCATCCTGTGTCCTATCGGCCTCTGAGCGCCCGCCGTGCGGATAGCGCCGCCCCTCTTTCTTAGAGAGAGAGCCGACCACTGACATGGCCTCCCCTCTCCCGGGCAGTCGCCCAAAACGCCGCAGCCGACCCCCGTCCGATCCGCCCCCGCCCTCTCTTTCTTTCCTGGCCGGAACACCCACCTATGCCCCCGCCGGTGTGCGCGGTGTGCACCACCGTCGAGCCTTTCCTCCGTAGTAGTAGACACCACCCCCCAGCCCATGTCTCTTCGAAGATGACTCCCGGCCCGGAGAGCAGAGCGGAGGAGACAGGAGGTGCCGTCATGATGATGATGATGATGATGATGATGGGGGTGTCCCGGGGCGGTCGGGAAGAGGCGCGGCGGGTGCAGCACCCCGAAGAAGAAGAAGAAGGAGACAACCGGTGCCTGTGAGGGAGAGGAGGAGGACTCGGATCGGCGATTGGTGGCCGCAAGCGGCTCTGCCGTGATGGCGTGGGCGGATCTCGGCTGGGGTCAAGGGTTGGGTGTCGGCGGCGGCGGGCCGGAAAGCTCCGGGCAGGGGAGCCCGAGGGAGATGGTAAGTAAGTAAGTAAGTAAGTCAGTCAGTCAGTCAGTCAGTCAAGGGGGGGGAAGGAAGGAAGGAAGGAAGGAAGGAAGGAAGGTTCAACAGTGATGAATGAGTGGAAAAGAGAGAGATGGGGGGGTGTGTGTGCATGACCGTGGTGAGTGTGACGGGGAGGGTTTTTGGTGGGGCCGGCCAACCGCCGGAAGCGGGGCGGCGAACGGACGCCCACTCATCACTGCGGACACGACGGGTGATGGCGTCGTCGGTTGGCGAAGAAGGACGTGGTGGATCGGGTGGCTGCTGTTGGTGAAGGTGAGAAGCGGCGGATGAGCTGCTCTGGATGATGTGGACTACTCGTCGGCCGCCGATCGTCGGGAGGGGGAGGGGGTTTGTTGGGTGGTGGTGGTGGTGGTGCCTCTTCGGCGGTCGTCGTCCCACACCGCCCCCTGGCGCACCAGGCAGCAGGGTTTTTCGTCGACCGACCACCCGACGTCGCACTCGTCGGGGGATATGGGCCGGCCGCCGGGTGTGCCCGCCCCGACCCGGTCGTCGGGGTATGAGTGGGTGGGTCGTTTTCGGTCGTGTGCTCCTCCGCCTTCTTCTTCTTCTTCTTCTTCCGGCAGACGGTCGGCGACGAAAAGAAAGGAGGATGCCGACTCCGCCTAAACCCCGCGGTGGGGTGGTATCGACCCGCCGTACACGGGGGCGGGGTCGTCTCGCGGGATCCCCGTCTGCCGCTAAACCTGAGTGTGGCAAAAAGCGGTGTCTCCACTGCTGCCGTGCCTTCAAGGGCGATGTTGGATGGCGCGCGCCGATGCACCGGCGGAGCGTCTCGTCGACTGCTGCTCCCCGGCCGGTTTTTAAACAACCAAACCGGTTGGGGGGCATCGGCCGATCCCCACGGCGGGAGTGCGGTGGTCGTTTTCGGCCATTGTCCCCCGCCCCGGCCCACCCGCTCCCCGATCGCGTACCGCCCTTTCCTCGACCACCCACTACCGGACCCGCTCCTCCGCTTTTGGTGGCTGGCCCCAGCAGGCATCATCATCATCATCATCATCATCATCCCCACCCGCTGCTCCGGCCGTCGGTCGTCTGCTGCTCCCCGGCCGGTGGTGTCACTGGGATGACACGACGTATGGCGGCCGCTCGCCCCGTACGCGGAGTAGTGGGTTGGTCCCGTCCGATCGGCTTTCGGGATGATGTCGTCACTCAGCCCATGTCCGCCGGTGCCGGACCCACTGCTTCTTCTTCAAGCCCGCCCCAAACAGCAGGCGCACGGGGCGGCCGGGCCAAGGGGGTGAGAGAGAGGCGGCGGCGGCGGCCGGTGGGACCGGTGATGCGCTAATAATCCTCCCTTGGGCGTGTGCCCGGGTCGCGGGAGGCCAGCCGCCACTCGGGGTTGGGGTAAAACGCGCTGGGTGGGGCACTGAGCCCCAACAACCGACGATCGGCGATTGGGGGTGGACATGCCCCCGCACTGGGCGGGGTTCTCTCCGGCCCGGCCCGACGAGCCGGCGGGGAAGAAAAGAAGCGGCCGCCGACCCGCGGATGTGCCTCCCCGGCTGCTTTGGCTGGCCGGGAAACCGGGCGGAGAGAGAGAGAGAGAGAGAGACATGGTGCTGCTGCTGCTGCTGCCACCCTCCGAAGCCGGTGCCCGTGGTGGGTGTGTATGGCGGGTCCGTCGCCCGTACCCGATGGCATCGGTCCCGCTCCTCCCGGCACCGACACACACCCCGACTCACCCCACTCCCGGCCATCCTCTCACCGGGGACCTGTTGCCCATGCCCCGGCACGCATTCGTGGCATGTTTGTTCCCCCATCGATCGATATCGATCGGCGTTTCACGGCCGATCGCTCTCGTCGGGGGTGGGCCGCCCCCCATGATGAGCCGCCCCCCGATCGACTCCACTGCCCCCGGTGCTGCGGCCGTCGCGATCGATATCGTCTCGGGCCACCCCGTGCCGGTTGGCCTCGCTTCCGCCGCATCGGGGTCCTCTTCCCCGACACACCGGCCAGCCCCGCCGCCATCGGCTCCTCCGTCCGGGGTTGTTTACGACCGACGCGGGTGGGCCGGGACAACGGACGGGACGACGACGACGACGACGACGACGACGACGACGACCATCATCCCGAACGGCGGGCAGAGGACCGAAAACGACCGTGTCCACAGCCCGCCCCGAAAGCGGGCATGGGCGGCGGCGGCGCGGCCCTCTCACCGGGTCGGGTGGCGGCCAGACCGCACGCATGGCCGGCGGCCACATCCCCCTGGGCCCGGTCACACTCGGCGGGTGAAGAAGGTGGTCCTCCACTCACTCGTCGCGCCCACTGTCGCCGTGTGCTGCCCGGTCGGCGGGGTGTTGTCGTGCCAACCGGTTGGAGGCAAGCAAGGGAGGAGGAGCCGCCCCAAACAAAACCCCCCAACCGAGGAGGTGCTGCTGCGTCGTGGGAGGACGACGACTCCCCGCACGCCACACCGGGCAGTCGTGATGAGCCTCCTTGCTTGGCGCCGTGGGAGTGCCGTGCCGGCGGGGAGTGGGAGGTCTTCTCGGTGTAGCCGGCCGGCGGCCCCCCCATCCAGCCACCACGGTTGGGCCCGGGCGCATGGGCGGCGGCGGCGGCGGCGGCGGGGAGCAACAAGAAGTGATCCGAACAACGGCCGACGAGAGCGGTGTGGACCGGGCTTGAAGCGGCCGAAACCGCCCATGCCCAACAACCCGGGCCGGCGGGCCGCCCACCTCCCCGACGCCGCTCCCGCCGCGGCGAGTGTGACGTCGTCATGAGGCCGCCGGCCAAAGCCCCCGCCGAACGTCCGACGACCGGCACACGGCTCTCCCGGCGGGGTGGTTCACCGCTCTGCTCTCCCGGACGAGCAGCCACTCCCCGCCGAGCCGACGGCTGTCTCCAACAAGCCCAAAACACCCCAACCGACGAAAAGCGACGAGTGCGACCCACCCGGTCGTCGGAGTGACCGATCGAGACACGATCGCCGCCCCAAAACCGAGATGGCCGGGGTGGGTGCGGGTGTGGTGTGGACGGGGGGCGAACGGCCGCCGCCCAGTGTGGCTTTGCCGACCGCAGAAGACGGGGAAGAAGGAAACAGACACGAAAAACGCCCCGCGACGGCAGAGAGAGCCCGGGGCGGAGCGGGGGCCGGCCAGGGAGAGAGAGTGGGTCGGCGGGGCATGTTGGCGGGGTGGATGGGGGCAGTGGGATATGGAGCTGCTCCGACGGTCGGGAGCACCCAGAAGAAAAGCCAACGACGGACCCACCCGCCCGTAACCCACCCACCAGACACAGACAGACAGACAGAGAATCCACCACACAGAAACCTCCGGCGAGCGGGGAGTGGGGCAACAAGCGGAGAGGAACAACACCCACCACCACCACCACCACCACCACCACCACCACCACCCATCATCATCATCATCCGACAACAGTCGCCGGGTGGCTGGTGAACGGAGGGTGGACGGAGCAGCGGGTTGATCCCCCGTATGCACGCCCGCGCCCATCTCTGGGTCAACTCGCACCCGGCGTGGGTCTGCGATGGCCATGGCCGGGGTATGGGCTCCGTCGGAGGGCGTTCAGCCCCATCAAGGTGCCCGTGGGCCCAGCAGTGGTCGTCGGGGCAACGGGCGCTTCTTCCGCCGGTGCCGCCCTGCCCCCTCTTCCCTCCGCGTGGGGGCAGGGGCAGAAACACCGATGCCGTTCGCGGGGTCCTCCCCCCACTAGTCACGGCGCCTCTCCTGGACACAGAGGGAGTAGCGGCTTCCACACCCAGCAGTAACCGTGTATACCGTTGCTCGCATGTCCCCCCGATCGGCTCGACCGGATCCGCTCCTCGCTCTCCCACCGCCATCATCGATGATCGGCGCGACGGCGCACCCGACTGGCGCACGGGGCACGGTGTGGGCCTGGCCAAGCCACAGTACGTACAAACGGTGCTGCCGGTCGAGCGGGGGTCCGTGCCACCATCATACCCAGCACGGGCGATATCGGTGTGGTGTCCCGCGGGGGTATTTCGGGGAACAGCCCGGGCAGCTCGGCACGGTCCAACGTCCTCGGAGCGGGGCAGCTCGAATGCTCCCTGTTGCACCACTGTCGTGGGGGGGGCATGCAGACGCTCCGGGTGCACGTCGGGGTAGACACCCATCCGGGTCGGGTGGGTCGGGAGTTCGGCAGTGGGGCCAGAGCATGCCGATTCGCCATCACCCGGAAACCGTGCTCCCGGAACCGGGTGGGATGGCGCCGATTCGCCATCACTCGGCTGTCCCAAACCTCCGTTGGGGGGTCTGGGGGCACCAGACGCCCAGGCCGGCCCGCCCCGTCGATTTGGCCCCTTTGGAGAGCCCATTTCTCCAGGCACACCGAGCGGGGGGTACACACGGTCACCGGCAAACGCCTCGACCGCCCCGCTTCTTGCCGGTTTTCGGGGTGTGGGCTCCAACAGAGAGCACCGTGTCCACCACCCCTCCACCCCAGTCGAGCTCAAAGGTGCTATCATCCGCTGCGGTGTTTCGGGTCGGGGTATACTGGGGGGATCTGGGGTAAGGGTGGGGGGGTCTATCGACGATACGGCGCTGTAAGAGAGGCTCATTCTGGTGGCTATCCGGCACACACACACCGGCCGAGCCGCGACGGACGACGGTGTCGCGGACAGAGGTCCCCGACGCCGACCGAAACGACCAGCACACAGCGCGGGGAAGTGTTGACCCCGTTCCGAACGGTGGTCCGGAGTGACCCACCGGACGACGACAGAGAGAGTCCCGGCGGTCTTCGTCTCCCACCGGTCGGGGAGAGCGCACCGACGACGGCACGGCGCGCTCCACTGGGCAGTGGGAGAGGGGGCATGGCCAACACGGCCGGACCACCGAACCGGCGGGTCGTGGCGATCGATATCGATATCGATCCTGATCCCTCCACCAACCCGCCGCCCCGCCCACCCCAGGCACCAGCGGCGGGCCCCATGGTGTGAGGAGGCCCGGGCAGAAGAGAAGAGGCCGGTGGGGCGCCGCAAAGAAGGAAGAAGAAGAAGAAGAAGCCGGGGTCTGCGGCGCCGCGGTCGGCCGGAGGGGGGGCCGCCCTCTCCCTCTGGGGCTGGGGGGTTCTTCCTCCTCCGGTCGGGGAGAGCGTTGGGCACCACAAAGGCGGGGGGGCGTGCAGTGGGTGGGGGTTGGGCGACAAGCAAGAAGGAACTCGGCCGATCGGGAAGGGGAGGAAGGGAGGAAAGCGGCGAACCCAACCAAAGCCGTCGGGGATGTGGCCAACAGGAGGCGGAACCCGACGACCGGGTGGCACACCGCCCGCCGGGTGGGATCAGTCAGCAGGAACACGACGGAAGGGTGCCCGCTCGCCTTCTTCGGTCGGCCCGACCGATAGCCTCGGAGCGGCACTCTCCTCCCGGCCGGTCAACAAGGCGTTCGGCCGATCTCGGTCGGAGGACCAGCAGCAGCAGCAGCAGCAGGAGGGTTGTGTGTGTGTGTCGGAGGAAAACGGGCATGGCTCTGCCTTCGGGGGGCGGCCGTGCACCACCGGCCGTGGTGCCCGCCGATCCGTCGTCCCGCCTCTCCAATTGACGCCGTGGTCGGGGGTGCTCTGGAGGTGTGTTGGCCCCCGAGCTGGCTTTGCGGGGTACACAGGCCGGAAGCCCTCCCCGTGGGAGCGTGGCTCCAGGCCGACCGGCCCGGGGAGAGGAGGGAGGAGACTGCGCGTGCCCCGCGGCACGGGTGAAGAAGCGGTGGGGCGGCCTCCTTCCTGCTGGGGTGAGTGCACCGGGGCTTGTTGGGGGTGTGCCCGACGGGGAGGTGGGAGATCGATGACGACGCACGATACTGGTATGATCATCCCCTCCTTGCGTCGCACTATCCGCCACGGACGGGGATAGAACGAAGCGCCGACATCGAATACCATTACCCGCCCAAAACGCTATGAGACGATAGGGGGGTTACCCACGCTCGGCCGGCTGGGGTGGTCATCACCCCTATCCCCCCCGCCATCAGCTCTCACCGGGATAGCGAAACACCAGAAGCATACCAGTCGGTGCGGGGTGATCCGCAGACCGCTCCTCCCCCGTCGTTATACATACTGCTCGCCCCTCCGCCCCAAGAAGGCTCCTCCACCCTTTATTGATGCCCACCCCACCGATAAATGGGTGCGGATGAGAATGACCGAGCCGCGTCTGCGGGATGCCGGTGCCGAGCAGCGGCTTCAGGGCCAGAGTGATGCGTCGGCGTGGAATGCCCTGAATGGTGACGAATCGCACGACGGATTGGGGGTGTCGTGCCTGTGGTCGCATGAGCCCCGTGGGATCCCGTAGCGACGGGGAGGGTCGGACCATGGGTGCCGTCGCTCGTAGTGGGGGGTGCGTCTCGATGTTCCATGGCTTGGGGCAGGGCGGGGAGGGGAGCCGGCCGAATGGTTGCGGCGGGGGCGTTTACCGCGGCTTCTTCGGATCCCGCGAAGAGGGCATGATGGGCCCGTGTGACCGACGCTCCGGGTCCTGGGGGTATGGGGGTATTCGGGGGGGGTATGCCCCGAGGATCCGGCACCATCAGCCCATGCGGGGGCCGGATCGCACCACTCTCTACGGCCGGACCGGGCGCGGAGTGAAGGGAAGCCCAGGGAGGAGCTATAGGGGACGTGACCTCCGGAGCAGTGGGCGTCAAAAGACCGTACCGATGCCCTTGGTGTACGCATGCGGAGTGCAGACCTGCGTGGGTTGGTTCGCGTATGACATCCCGCCGCCGCGGAGGGGGAGTATGTGGGGGCATTCCCGAGCCGGATCCGGGTGAGGGCCCACCCGCTCGTATGGAGTGAAGGGCGGGAACACCCCCTGCCGTTGTCGGGACAGAGGCAGAGGAGGGTGTGGTCGGCCGTGGGCTTGGATCAGCCGAATGATGAGGATGCCTCCGGTCCGAGCGAGGATTATTAGTCGTGGGGGTCGCGGATCCTTTCTTCTGCTTCTTTCTGTTCCCCGGATCTGTGTTGGCCTCCCTTCCTTCCTTCCTTCCTTGTCTCTCCCCCCGGCGGTTTTCTTTCCCTCCCTTTTCTTCTTCTTCTTCTTCCCTCTGCCGACCCCGATCCCCCCAATCATGGTCTCTCTCCCTGGCCGGCGGGGGGCCCCCCGAACCGGTTGTTTCCCCTTCCTTCCTTCCTTCCTTCCTTCCTTCCTTCCTTCGCCGCCGCCTGCTCCCCGTCTTTCCTTCCTTCCTTCCTTCCTTCCTTCCTTCCTTCCTTCCGTGCGCAGTGGTGCACGTGGGTGGGCAGCAGGGAGGAGGGCACGACACCCAGTCCTCCTCCTCCTCCTCCTCCTCCTCCTCCGCCAGCCAGTGGGAGCCATGTGGCCGGCGAAGGGCCTCCCGGCGGTTTGAATTATTGCTCACCGGGCGGCCCCGGCACGACCAACGGCCTCTCCGACCGCGCAGCCTATCGCTGCTCGTCGAACCCAGTCACGGTCAGCGGCAGTGCGGCCGGATTGCCCGCCCTTCCCGCCGAGGACAGGTCGTCTCGGAGCGGGCATGGGCGGGGGGCAGCACTCCTTTACGCCCCCCGTGCGCCGGACTGCTCTCGGGTTGGGGGGCCGCCGCTTCGCCGAACCCTGCCTCTCCGGCGCGGGCCTCCGATCCGCGGCGATCAGCAGCCCAAACCCCGACCGTCCGTCACAGAAAGGGGGCGCGCCCGCCGCCGCCGCCGCCCCTCCTCCCTCAGACCGCCCACACGGCCGGGAAGGGGGGCCGAAACGCGCCGTGTGCGCCGCTCCCCGCTGCTGGGTCCTAGAAGCGGCGTGGGAGAGGCGGCTTCCTCCCCGCCCCCCGTCCTCCCGCCCCTGCTGTGCCGCGCTCGGGTCCCTCCCTATCCTCTCCCCGCACGCTCTGGTCCACACTCCCGGCGTCTCGCGCACCAACCCTTCAAAATGGGAGACGTATGCGCGCGAGGCGCGACGGGAGCCCCGGGGACCGCTTTGCACCCACCCCCACCCCTCACCGGCCATCCCCGGGCCGCCCGACCCGCATTCTGCTTGCCTCCCCGTGCGTGCGGGTCCCCGGCGCGAACACCCCCACGACGGAGGGAGGACGGTGGACCCCCCACTGGCTGGAGGAAGAACACCGGACCGGAACCCCTTCCCCCACTCCCCGCCGACGCGGCCCGACCCACTCTCTGCGCTTGACCGACGAGCACACGGTGTGCTCGCTCGTGGGGGGCACACCCCGACGCGACGGGTGTCGTCTCATCAACCGCCGGTCGTGTCTCCGTTTTCGGGTTGTTCCCTCCTCTTCTTCACTCCCCCCGCAGTGGGAGCACGGCCAATCGTGTCGTGTGCCGGCCCCCGACCGCCGTGCCACTGCTGGGCACTCCACTGCCGTCGACGGGAGTGGGCGGGGTCTTTGGGTTGGGTGCCGATTACGGAGGTCGGACGGGTTGGGGAACACACCGAGGATGAGACCCGCCCCCTTTCCTGTTGTCCCGGTGTCCGCCGCGCCGGGAGTGGGCAGCAGACCCGCCGACGGTTCTTCGGCTGCTTGCCGCCCCGACGAACAACGCTTTTCCCACCCACCGAACCTTCGCACTGCCGCCGGTCGTGCGCGTGCCGGTGTGCCTTCTTCTTCTTCTTCTTCTTCCGCTCGGGGTATCCGCCGGCCCGATGCCGGAGGAAACGGAGAGCGACAGACGACTTACCGGCCGGGCCGACCACCGGCGCGGGGGGTAGTGTCGGTCGACGGCCAGTGAGGCCGCCCCCCCAATCGACGACCCGGTGAACGCCGCCCCACCGTGCCCATGATGGCCGGCCGGCCGTCCGCCCGCCCATCTCCCTCCTCGGCCCACACCGGTGGGTTTTTGTTGGCGTTTCTTCCTCGCCCACCCCGCTTCTTGTTGCCGGTGGGATGAACCAACCCCCCCATCCCCGTTGGCCGACGAGCCCACCGAATCGAGTCACCGATCGCCGCCCACAAACCACCCACCCGAGCCGCGACACGAGACGATCCGCGGGAGAGGCTTCTGGCCGGTTTTCGGGCAAAGAGCGGAGGATTGGATCTGCCGCCCGTAGTGTCGGGGTGGGGGGCCGGCCCGATGCCGCGCAGAGCAGTCGATATCCCGCCGACGGTGGACCACCCCCATTCCGGGTAGACCCGCCGTTTCCTTTGTCTCTCCTATGCCAATTTGGTCCGGGCATAGCGGGGAGGTATGATGACATCATCGAGGCTTTCTGTGCGGCTCCTCCGCAGAGCCCGTACCGTGATTCTCTTATCTCCTACCACCCCGAGGACCCAGTCGTCGATCAGGCGGTGTCGGATGACCACCCGGGCCGAGGGTGTGGAGGTCACCGTGGGGGTGGCCGGGAATGGGCTAAAAGCTGGGGGGAGCGCGCACCCAGCCGGCTGCTCCTCCGGCTGGGCTCGACGAGCGGGGTGACACACGGCTCGGCGGGGGGTTCGAGATGGAGAGGGAGGAGGATAGACGCCGAGAGGGAGAAGAGGCCGAAAACCGGTGATCCGGGCGGTCGGCCGAGGCGCTGGAAGAGATGGCTCCGGAGAGCCCTTTCCGGGAGGCAGGCGTGGAAGGGAGCGGTGGGCACACGAGAGCGGGAAGGCGGGGCCGGGCCGACCACCGGCGCGGGGCACTCGACAACAGACGTCGTCTTGGGCCATGCAGGGAGGAGCTCCTGGAAAAGAGAAGGGGGCAAGGAGGGAGCAGCAGCAGCAGCAGCAGCAGCAGCAGCCTGCTGGGGCCGGGGGTTGGGGTCACGAAGGGGGGCGGGGAACGACAGGCACAGTGCCTCTCCCGGCACGGCCAAGGGCGGGTGGTCGGCGGGCTCCGGAACCAGCAGCCCCAGCGCCCGCAGCAGACGGGGTCGGCCCAAAGCCCCGCCGGCCCACTGCACACCACTCCGGCGGTGTGGGTTCATTCACCACCCAAAACCCAGCAGACGACGGTCGACGACACCACCTCCCCAGGGGTCTCGGGGCGACGCGGCCATCACCCCGCCGCTGTCTCTCCGATGACGCTTGGACTGGTCTCGCTCCGGGCAGAGCCGGCTGTTGGGGTGGATCGACGGGGAAGAGGCCGATTGATGATCCACTCGTCGGGTGTTGGGCGGGCGGACGGCTCGACCACACCCGGCGGGAGAAGGGGATGACCGACGAGACCGGCATCGGACAGCAGTGTTGGACACACCCCGCAAAACCGGCACACACCAGAGAGGGAGAGAGAGAGAGAGAGAGAGAGACAACAGCAGTGCGGACAGCGGCAGACCGGCAGTGAGAGCGGAGTGCGGTGGGCGGCGCGGTGGTTCACTCTGCGGGGTGTGCGGAGGAGCCGACCCAGGCGGGGTGCCAAGCCGCGAAGGATTGAGCGAAGAAGAAGCAGCGGCCGGGGATACCCGCCCCGGATCAGGGAGAGGAGTGGGCAGGTGCGGTGTGTCGGGGGGCGGGTTCTGTCCCCACCCCCTCTGAGCCTGTTGCTGGGTCCGGGGCAATGGCCAGCAGATGTGCGGGGCAAACACTCGATGCTCCCACGATCTGCGCGCCCGATCCGAGAGTGGTCGGTCTACACAGTGGCGGGGCGTTGGAAGGCCGGCCGGTCCCGGCGCTCTGCTGGGGGGCCAGTGGGTCCTCCGGCGGGGGGAGAGCATCCCGGCCGGAGAGCGAACCGGCCGGGGACGGAACGCACCGGGCGCCCGGCCTCTCTCGGCGGTGGGTTTGTGTGGCGCGTGTTTGGGCTCGTCTGGGGTGGGGGGCAATCGTCGGAATCTTCAGGTACGACCACTGCGCCGGATCGATGATCGGACACCAGAACGAACCAAACCACTCCCCCGGTATACCCCGGCGCAAACCCCATACGAAACCCTCATGATATCACGACCCCTCCAGTGGTGGGATCCGGATCCCGGTGCCCGGACCGGGTATTCCCTCCCCGCTCTCTCTCCATCGACGACCCCCAATCTGCAGTCGGGCCGACCGGGGCTCTCCGTGGAGCAAAACCGCGGTCTGCCTTCCACTGCCGACCGGAGGGCCGGTCGAGGGCTACTCGGGTCGCGTCGGGCATGCTGGTTTTTGGTGGGCAGCGGATGCACCCGGGGCATGGGCCGGGGAGCCTGCTGGGAGGATAAGGCCCAGGGTTCGGTCTCGTTCCTCCGACACGAATAAACGCCCCCGGCGCGGCCGTCGTCCTCCAAGCCACCCCCCTACTAACCTCCCTCCTCGACCCAGCCGGATAGCTATAACCCGCTCCTCCCCGAGCCAGGCCATCACCCCACTCCCGCCGGACCACCGGATGTACCGACGAAAACCTCCTTCGCAGCCCCCTCCAACCCCGGCGTACGGGCCTCTATCGGCATGACCACCTTCCCCTTCCCGGGCCCGACCGAAATGCCCCAGCGCGAACAGCAGACAGAGGGAATGCGGCCCTCTCCGCCGGCTCCATCCTCCCCGAGAACCGGGTAGACCCAGACCCGCACTCGGACCACCCAAAACCGCTGCTCCTCCCCGCGCACGACGACGCATGCCCCATCCGCAAAGCGCCCCTGCCCCCCGGTTGGCTCCCGCCGAGGGAGAGGCATTCGTGTCGGTCGTGGGTACTCCTCTCGGGAGTGGAAACCCGGCGGGGGCGTGGAGCGGGAGAGGGGGCGGCCAGCAGCAGAGCAGAGCAGAGGAGCATGGGCGGGGGATTGGGTTCGGCGGGGGGGCGGTGGGCGGCTTGAGGGCATGGGCTATATCATCGGATCGCGGGTCCGGTTCGGGGTTTTGCTGCATGCTCCGGCCCATGGGGAAAACCCGCTGCTCACAGTCCGACTGAGGCGGGGGCAGTTCGGGTGGGGTCGTCGGTTCAAGCCCCCCGGTCGATCGGGGATGAGTGCCGATCTGGCGCCCCCTGTCTCCGTTCATGGAAGGACCCTATGGTCGGTATCGGGGAGGGCACGATCATGGACCGGGATCCGAGCAGATCGATCCACTTGGGGGAGATGGCCCAGGGAGGGGAGGAGGTGACTTCCGAATCGGGGGTGGTGGGTGATGTGGGAACAGGATGAGGTCTTGTCTCGGGACGATTTCTGGCATCATCGGGTGGGGTGGAGTGGGGGCGCACTCGCGTCGGTCTGAGCATGGCCTCTGCCGGGCGCGTTCGTGGTTTCCCCGAACCGTGCGCGGGGGTCCCCTCTTGCGCGGCTCTCCCGCTCTGTGGGCACAACAGCGAGGCGGGGTCGAGCATTCGAGCGCCGAAGCCGCCCTGCTCGCGGCGGGCCCCAGCAGGGCCGGCCTCTCCTCCGGCCCCGCTGCCCGGGCGACCCGACCGATGCTCACCCCTTCCCGGCCACCACCCCGGGCCCGTCCGTGCACCGACCCGGATGGGAGATCGCGCTTGGGGTTTTTCGTTCGGCGGTTTGAGATGCCGTGCCCGGTGCAGGCACCCCCCACGCCGCCCCCCGGCCCAAGCCCCTGCGGATCGCATCCGGCCGATAACCCCGTCACCATGTCTCCTCCCCGACACCCGACCTCGATATCCCCATCGCTCGCCTCTTCTTCGGTCCGATCGCGAGCCAAAGGCCCGGTGCGCCGGGGACCCCGTTTGGCTGGCGCACCCACCGCACCAGGGGGGGAACGCGCCGCCCACGACACACGCCACACGACCGAAAGCCCTCGTGGCCCCAGAGACGGGCGAGAGTGTCGGTGCATACGTATACCTTCTTGGGCGCCGCGGTGTGTGTATAGCCCGAGCCGCTATCCCCGTCCGAATGGCCCACACCCTGCAGAGCTGGCCGGCCCTGCCGCTCCGTCGATCCGCTCCCCCTCTCCCGGGCATGCCCATTCTTCCGGCAGCAAAGGGTCCACAGGCCTCTCCGACCCGCCCCATGATGCGGGTTGGGTGGTGCCCTCCTACTCAAGACACGAGCCAGTACTCCCCATCCGCGCACGGATTCCACCAGCCACCTCGATACGGCTATGCCTCTCCCCGGGCCGGGCTTGGCCTCCCCATGGGCCATGCCATCATGCCCCTCCTTTTCACTCTGTCCTCCCTCCGTCGTGGGGGTGGTCGCCCCGATCATCGCGTTCCTCTCCGGGCCGGCCCGGAGAACCACTCCCGGCGGGCGTGTGCGCCAGCAGGGTTCGTGAGTAGTGACGACACCCCCAGCCCCCCCCGCGACCAGCCGCCCCGACCCCGGCACAGCCCCCGGAGCCGGGACGACACGTACGCCCATCGGCCGCCACCCTGCCCACTTTCTGACGACCCCCACCAAGTGTGAAGGCCGCCCACGCCCTCGGTATCCGATCCCCGAACCTCAACAGAGCGCGATCGATATCGATAACAGGTGTTGGCCCGGAAGTGGGGAGTGCTGCCCTTCTCCTCTCCCTTTCCCTCCCGCACCGCCCCCCTTCCAGTCGTCAGTGTCGACCCTTCCCGCCGACCACCGGGGCACACCTCTCCGGCACCTCTCCCAGCCCCATGCGCCACGGGGAGAGCCGCAGCCCAACGCTCGGCCGGGCCCGGGGTGAGTGGTCTCTACCGGAGGGTTGGCGAGACGCTGTGGGTCTGCGTGCTGTGTCAACCCCAGACGGGGAGGCGGGCGCCGCGGCCTCCTCCCCACAGCCCCCACCCCTCCTGCTTGCCCCACTCCCCGTGTGCGGCCATGTCGCGTGCCGGATGCTCCGGTGCCCGGGGTGATCACCCGCCCAGGGAGGACCGACCCGGTATCTGCTTGCTGGTTCCTCGGCACGGTGGAAGAAGGACAACCCGCTGCTCGGGGTGTATCCGCCATGCCCCCTCTCGGTCGGGAACACGCCTCCTCCCTCGGAGCGGTTTGGGTCATCGAGCAGTGGACCGGCGCGATAGTGGTCGTCACCAGAGCGCATGCCGGGACGACGCTCGTGCTGCCTTGGGCCCGGGACACGGGCGGGGCGGCAACCGGGCAACACCCCACCCAGGCGGTTGGGACGCGTGCGGCGGGCCGTCGGATCGGGTTTTGGGGGAAGGGCGGGGAGTGGTATTCTTCCGGCGGGGACATCCCTCTCCGGGGCCGCCCCCTCCTTCCTCCGACGAACCCGAGAACACGTGGATCATGCGGCTTTTGGTTGGCCGGTGGTGGATATCGGCGGTGCGCTCGATCGTATGTCGCGGGGTGGTGTGCGTCGGTCAGCCAAAAACCCTGGTCGAACAGCGCACATGGTGCACGACACGGCCCGTGCGCTCCGTCCGGTGTGGAGGGAAAAGGGAGGGTGGTTCGGCGGGGAGAAGAGCCGGCGAACGTGCGCCCCCCAACCACCAGGGTTTTGGACATGCCCCCGCCCCCCGGGCAGCAGACCCTTCTTCGATCTGGTCTGCCCCCTTTCCGGGGGATCGTGCGTGGTCGTTCGTCGGGGCCGGGGCGGCAGGTTGTTCCGGCCAACAGACAGGAGCGGATGGGGAGCGGTCGAGCGGGGAGAGGGAGGGCCGCCAAAGGGGCATGCCCGTCCGCAGGGAGCAGACCGCCGAAGAGACCCCGATCCGGATGCCCGGTCTCGCCCGTGCAGAGGTTGTTGGGCCCGGGTCGACATGCTCCCGCTCCACCCACACCGGAGGCGGCAGCAGCGGGGGTCGGATCATCGCCGGTGATGCTCGACCGGGGAGAGGGCGCGGCGGCCACGCACGGGCCGTGGTCGCTCGGACCGGGGGCGGAAAGCACACTGCAGTGGGCAGTCGCGGAGTCAGCGCGGTCGGAGTGGGTCTCGTCGCGACGAAAGGTGCTCCGGATCGCCTCGTCGTTCCTCTCCGCATGGCCATGGCCGGGGTGGCCCGTGTTTGGGGTTCGGCGGAGGCGGTTCGGTCTGCTGTGGGCCGCCCACCAGAGCATGCCCCGATGCGCCGGAGCCTCTCCCAGGAAGAGAGGCGAGACACGATCTCCCGACGCCGGGTCGGTCGGGACTGGGAGAGGGTTTGGAGAGGAACGGGGAGGATCGGGCGGGGGAAGCGGCTTGGGGGAAGGCACACGATCGCGGCGGTTCAGCAGGCCGGTGCTCATTGGGGGTTTAGTGCCCGGTTTCGGGAGATCGACCGGCCCATCATCGGGCGTCGGATCCGGGCCTTGTTGTATCGAAGCCCCCCAAAACCCATCACCCCAAAAAGCACCAGCAGTGATTTCACCGAGCGCCGGAGACCCCCGCCCACGCACTTTCTTCCCCAACCACTCCCCCCCTATCCCCTGCCGTCCGTATCGACGACTGTCGCTCCCCCCGATCCGCGATGATGTCGTGCGCTGCCCACCCAGCACTGTTGGCTTGGGGTGTGAGAGCGGGACTGGTCTGCTCCTCTGTCGCGTCATACTGGCTGGGGGTGGTTTTGCGTGCTCGTGCGTTGTTGGACGACTCCCCAGCCCAACCCGGCCCAGCACATGCTCTCTCCGCCCGCGCATGCCCGATCCCGCCACGGGTGGAGCGATTTCTGGTCATCGGTCGTGCCGCCGGGGTTCAGGCCAGACCCGAAAGAGGAGCATCCGCAGGCGATCCGCGAGAGGCATTGGGGGGTGGGTATGCCCGCCGGGGTCTTGGGGGTGGGCAGACGGGCCGCCGCCCCTAGAGGGCTCTACAACCCACATTCTATGCCCCCCGATGGGTGGTGGTCGGTCGGCGGTTCGGTCGGCACGTACCACCCCTGGATCGGGGAGAAGACAGTGAGCCTGGTCCCGGCTGCTGCAAGCCATACCGATATCGATACACCGAAAAGAGCCATGTCCCCGATCACGGCGAGGGCAGGCAACCGACGACCCACCAATCTCTCTCGCTCACAGTGCCGGCGGGTCAACCAGCAGGCCCCGGCGCCCGGGACGGCACGCAGCAGAGCGGGTGGTTTCGGGTGATGGGCGGGGGAGAGCGGGGAGTGGGAAGCGACCGGACTGGAGGAGTGGGGCGGAAAGGGCGGGAGAGGGCGGGCATGATGGCTTGTGCTCGGGGGGCGTATCGGGACCACGCTCGTGAGCCGGCGCTTTCTCTGGACCACTCCCCGCCCCAAGGGGAGAGACACCGATAGGGATCGGTTGGCCTTGGCCTGTGCTCCTGGCCGGGCTGGCGGGCTCGGCGGCCGAACCGTGCGTGGACCTTGCTGCTTGGGTCGTGCGGCTCTTCCCGGGCGACGGGGTCCTCCCCCGAGCAGCGGCTGGGCGAACGCTCCCCGGCCGACGAGCAGCCCCGCCCCCGGTGTCGATAGCAGAAACCACCGACCACCGGCTCGGACAGAGAGCGCTCTCTGCCCGGGGCTGTTCCACCGGCTCGGGCTTTTGTTTGTAATAACCCCCACCATCAGGTGGGGGGGGTGCGGCACGAAAGGTGCGATTCTTGAGGAACAGTCCCTGTAGGGAGTGGCGGTCACCGCCCCGGGAGATCCCCGGGGAAGGGGGGGTGTAGGCCCTACGATCCCGGGCAGTGTGCGGGCCCGGTTTTCGGTGGTCGCGACACATCTCCGGGCATCCCAAGCTCCACCCGTCCCGAGGGGGTTCTCGTGCGGATCACTCACTACCCTCCACAGCGGCTGGTGGGTTGAGGTTGGCCGTCCTCCGTGGATGGAGTATCGATCGTCGGTTCGGGGAGCCGCTCGACGGTGTGGGCGCAGACGCCGGGGTTTTCCCCATCCGGCGGGGGGTCGTTCAGAGGGGGGAGCGCTGGGGAGCGGGTCCAACCCCAGCAGGGCCGGCCTCCCCGTCGTCCGCTCCCGCACTGCCCATAGCGGGGGTTGTTTCGGTCGATCGCGCCGGGGAGAGGCGACGCACACAAACACCATCGATGCTATGATCCGCACCGCGGGCGGGTCGACACGGCGGCCACAGGGGCGAAGGCGTGCGCGGTGGGGTGGGGAGGGGTGGAGTAGGAAGGAGGCAGGCTTCTCATCCCCCGCCAGACAGCCACGGCAACCCACCATCTTTATCGGGTTTTCCGGTCGCCCCAGCGGTCTCTTCTCCGACGAATAACTCCCCGCGAGCGAACCCGCTGCTCGCGCCGGGCACTCCGGTGGTCGGTGCGATCCACTGCCCGGTCCACGTGCGGGTCGGGGTCGTCCCCGGCCCATCTGCTCCGGCCGCAGTGGTGTACACGGCCCCCGATCGGCTGACGATGGCGGCACCCCGAGGGAGGAGAGAAGACCCCGGAACCTAGCGCCTCTCCGCATGTCGGTTCCCGCGCCACTCGGAAAGGTCACTGTGGCCGCCCCCCGGTCGGGGGTTTTGGGCCGTGCAAGGACAACCGCCGACAATCAATCGGGGCGGGGGCCGTCACTGTGGCCGGGGAGAGCCCCTCTCCTCCGCGAGCACCCTCACACGGAGCACACGGCGCATGGGCCCGTCGGGGTACGGGAGGGCGGCGAACTGATCACGGCATGGGGTCCTATTGGTGCGAGTTCCGTACGAACGCTCTCCCCGTCATCGGTTGGAAACGATGCGGCCGGTCGGCGCCCCTCCCTGGCCCTCTGCTCTCCCCGGCCCGGTTCGCCGCTCGGGGAGGAAACACCAAACCCAGCCGCACCCCGGATCCCCGGCCGACGAAGCCCCCGCCCCCGATTCCCGGCCTCTTCCGGCATGCCCAAAGAAAGCCTCGCATGCACCACAGACCACCCCGGAAACGGGGAAAGATCGAGACACTCCCCGCTCGACCGGAGGAACCCCGCCTTGGTTGGACACACCCGCCGGATCCACATCCCACAGCGGGATGCGCCGCCCCTCTCTTCTCTTCTTGCTGCGCTGAAACCCACCCGCTTCGCTCTCCCCCTCCCCGAGACAGACCCGCCCATCCAACCAAGGGGGGCATGGTCGTCGATCTGCTGGTCGACATCCGGTCCGGGGGGGAGCGACCGGACGACCACCGACGTGGCAGTCGTCTCGGCGGGGCATCCTCCCGCCGGTCATCGCACACCGCGGGGCATGCGAAGCGGGGCGAACCGGGGCCACCCGGTACTGGTGAGTGGAGCGGGGGCGGGGAGAGGAGCATGGGGAGGTTACACAAGCAAGAAGGCGACGGGGGCTCGCTGCTCCTCCCCATGCTCTCCCCGGCCGGTTTATGGGGTTTCCCGGCCGGTGGTATGCCGCCCCCCCACCCCGCGCCGGAAGGCACACCGCCCGCCGGTGGTTGAGCCGGGGGGGCCGAGCTCACTCTCCCCGCCCCCGCATGTGTTGTGCCGGGTTTTCCGCTCGGGGTTTTTGGGCCAGAGGTCATCAATCCCCGGGTGTGTGCACCGTGGGTGCGGTTGCCCCGGGCGGAGCGGCGGGTGGGATTGGACCAGAACCAATGGACGACGGCGGGACGTGCGTATGAGGCAGAGTCCCCGATGTGTCCGAATGGGTCGCACTCGTCACGTGTCCACGGTGTTCCCCAATCGGATACGCGGAGGGGGTCGGGGGGCGCGGGGAGTGCTCGAGCACTGGCCGGAGGTGCGACGGGGAGAGAGGTCCGACGACAGGTTCGGTGTGCCTGGGCGCGACCTCATGTTCACGGCCCTCTCGGCGAAAAGTACGCATCATCGCTGCGGGCGAAGAAGGGGCAGCCATCGCTCCTGCGTGAACCGCCGGGGGTATCATGGCAAGGGAATCCGGATCTAACCGAACCGGTGATCCTGGGCGTGGGACGGGGACCGGCGGGGGCGGGGGAGCGGCTGGGACTGGATTAGGGGCACCACTCCGGACGGCCAATCCCCCCGGAACAGGAGCAAGGCTTGGGGGCACCCCGGGAAGTATCGTACTGTTGTTCGTGCGATCCCCGTGCTGTGTTCGCTATTGACCCGTGCTGGGCCATCATGCCGTCGTGCGGGTGGAGGGAAGAAGGACCCTCCGGGCGCCGGGTCGATTGGTCTTTTTCCTGGTCTCGGCCGGCCATCCGCTGTCACGCGGGGTGGCGCCTTCCGCAGCAGGCTCGGCATACCCGGACGTGAGAGCCGGTACTGCCCGAGCGAGCATGGGGGATGCGCCTATCTCTCCGGGTAGGGCCCCATACGTCCTCTTCGTCCGTGGACGACCCGCCGGGCTTTTCCCTGCCGACCGCTGGCACGCTCTGGCTTCACTCGGGGACAGGGAGCCCACGCCCCTCTGCACGCCCTCGATGACCACCCCACCCCAAGAGGCCTCGTGCTGTCCCACCCCAGCGCGGAAGACAACCCCGGCGGAGAGCGGGGATCGTGGTTTGGGTCTTCGGCTCAGTGGGGGTGATCCATCATGAAGGGGTGGGACATCCGGCGTACGATGGAACACACGTAACCGGACTGATTGCGTCGAATGCGTGAATTGATCCGGTTGAGGCGTGGAGTGGGCTTTGGCTCGCTCGGGGGTCGTCATTTCGTGTGTGGCTCCACAGTGAACATTGGTGTCGGAGCCGGCTCCTCGGCCACAGCCCCCCCAACCCCCGATCGATCGCCATCCGCTGTGGAGGATCGGCCAAAATGTGTTATCGGCGGGGTCGTCCAAAACCCCATCATCCACTAACCCCGGCGACACACCCCTCGCCGACCGTCGGATGGGGTTGGGCAGAGGACAGAGATATCGTGTGTCTCCGGGCGGGGGGAGATGTAGTGGTTTTTGCCGGCACGGAGCAGCCCACTGCGAACGACGGTACGGTCCCCGCCGCTCTCATCATCCCAACAGCCCAAGCGCCCCCTGGCCCGCCATCACGACGCAGGGGGGCCCCTGTCCCAGTCAGTGAGATCCCCGTTCGAGGCTGGGCCGCTTTCCGCCGCTCATGCTCCCGCCGGCACTCCACTCCCCCGACACACCGCCCATGCCCCTCCGCCCGCCGAATGCCCCGGCTCGGTGCTCGACCCTTCCCGCCGATACCCGCTTCTTCTTCTTCTTCTTCTTCTTCTTCTTCTTCTTCTTCCCCCATCCCGGGGTTGGGTTCGACAGCTGGCCCCGACCCCGCCCCGAAGCGGACCCATATCCGGTGTATGTGCTGCCCGGCGGAGGCCCGAGGAAGACGCCCCCCCGTCGGTCGTCCTCTCCGAGCTCTCTGGGCGCGGCGTGGCTTGGGAAACGGCCCGACACCGTGCCGCGTGAGCCCATTCTGGTCGGGTTTACCCGGTGGAACTTGCTGCCCGGGCCAGCGGGGGGTGGAAGGGGGGGCGGAGCGGGTGTGTCCCACCCCGCACTGCCGACACCACCATGCCCTTGGGACAACAACAGCCCACAAGAGCATGCCCTTCCCCCCTTTGTCCGTGGCTGGGGGAGGTGTGCCGCACGGTGCTCCGGGTTTGGGGTCATCGACAGTGCGTCAGAGGTGACCACGACGGCTGATGAACCCACCCGACGACGACGACGACGACGACGAGCGGGGAGGCCGCCGAGTCCCGACTCGACCGATGACCGCACCGGGCCACTACACACAGCAGTAAAGAGCGGCGGGGACAGCCCAACCCATACCCCACACCCACTCATACCCCGATCAAGCATCCCGTCACCCACGAAGCCCCCATATTCTCTTGCCCGAGGAGCGCCCTCCACCGACGGGTCCTGGGCAGTGTGGTTTCGACCACTCCCGGCCAACATCGAGCCACTCCCCGCCCTCGCCTCTCCGCGGTCGCCCTCTTCCGACCGTCGAGCCCACCGAACCCGCCCACAACAGCCGCTGGCCCGGAGGTGGGTCCCCCCCATCCACTCTGCTGCCGACGACGATCCACAGACGGACCGGTGGTTTCCAGTCCAGTAGTGTGCTGACCCGCTCCCCGCCGACAGATCGACACGGCACACCCGGAGTCGGTGCAAGCAAGCAGTGAGACCGCACACCCTCTCGCCCTTTTGGCTGGTGGGCGGGCACACCGTGCTGCCACCGGGTGCACAGCAGAGAGAGAACCACTGCTAACTGGGGAGTTATTAGTAGTGGGTTGTTTTGTCGACACACGGGAAGAAGAAGAAGAAGAAGAAGAAGGGAGGGAAAACCGCCGGGCCGGGAGAAGGCGGGCGGTTTGTTGGGGTGTTCGGCGGGGAGCGGCGGATGATCGATCCCCCCGGTCGTCGAGCCCCCCGTGGGCGGATCGGCGATCGATGCGCAAAACGCCCCGGGCCCGGCTCCGCGGACAGCAAACACCCGCGAAGCCCCTCCGCGGACGGAATGGGCTCGAGGGGGGCATCACTCCCAGCCAGCAGCGGCCGGGGGTGTATGTGCCGCCGGTCGGGGCAGGAAGGGGGGGCATGCGACCCGCTCTGAGCCACTCTCTTCCTGGCCGGACCCAGCCGCTGCTCCGCCTCTGTCGCGCAGGATCACTCTCCCCCGACCCGACCCGACCCGACCCGACCCGACCCGACCCGACCCGCCCGGCGCACTCCCAGCTCTGCACGCCACACGAGACTGAGCAGCCCATCCCCCGCCGCCTCCTCCTCCTCCTCCTCCTCCTCCTCCTTTCCGGGCCGGCGCACACCCTCTCCAGCAGCTCCCAGTGGGTGGGGGCCTGTCGCTCTGTCGGGGCGGCTATCTGCTGCTGCTGCTCCCGGACGACGGAAGAAGAAGCTGGTTGGGGCGGATCCCCCCCCCCGACCGAATGGTGGGGAGGGCCGGGCATCCTCGCTCGGCTTTGGGCAATAGACTCCGAGGCGGGGCACGCGGCCAGAGGCGGGGACGACCATGCGGCGGCCCATGCGGCGGGATTCGTGGTCGATGCGGCGGGGGCATATGCGTAGTACGACGGGTCGCCCCTCTGTGCGTGGCCTTCCTCGTTGTTAGAGGGGCCATGGATCGACGATGGGTTCACGGGGTTCGGTGCTGGTCGGAAACAGCTCTTTCGTGCCCGGGCGCAGGGCGGCGAGCAGCGGAGGGGGGCCGCCCGCCTGTCGGTCTCGATCATCCCCCGCACGGGCAGCACTGGGATGGCTCGGGGTGGGATGGTGGGCGGACGGCGGGCATGGGCGGTGCTTCCTCGCCGGGGAGGCCGACCCCGGCCGCCGGGTATGATGATCCACCATTCGTCGGACTTGGGGGAGATTGTCGCGCGAGCCATGGTGGCCGGTCGCACCTGTCCCCGCCCCGGTGAACCGACTGACCATGCATGCGTCGACAGGATTGGTCGAACGGCCGGCAGGGGTTGGCCGGGGATTGGGGGGCAATGGATGGGCGGCACGAGCGCACCCGGGCATAGGCCTATTGCTCTCCCCGGTCCATCCCCCCAAAACCCCGACATATCGATCCGAGCGCACTCGCCGCACCAGAAGCCCCCGCCCGCTCGGCCGGTGGGGAATATTATCCGTCGGGGCGAGCGCGAGCCGTATCGCTCGCTGGATCCGCCTCCTTCCCCTCCGCCCAACCGAGTGACCGGTCGGGGCCGACTGACGTGCCCAATAGCGGACCGATGACCCGAACCCACCTCCACACCACCCCGCCGGTACACCTGGCCCAGGCGCCTTCCACCCCGCATGCAGCTGGGCAGCCTCGGGATCGAACGCTGGGAGCATCAGCCCGGGTGTTCGTCTTCCCGGCGGGTGGTTCGAACCCAATCGAGGGGGGGCGGCTTGCATCTCGTCGGAGTGGGTTTTGTTGGACCGGGAGGGTTTTGGTCCGGCATGGATGGAGATCGATTGATCGTGGTTTCTATGGGGGTCGAGGAGCGGGATCGAGGAGCATCCGGGTGGGCCGCCCCCCTTCCACTCCCCGCCGGCACTGGGGATGGTGGGGCCGCCGACCGGGCGAGCGGGAGGGAGGAGCGCTTGTGAGGAGGGTCGGGGAAAAGGAGGGCGGCGGCCTGGGGGTACGGGGAGCCGAGGGCCGAAGAGCATACATGTCGAGCCAGGCTCACCGGCATCTGCAGCACGGAGCGGAAACAGAGCATATCGACGGGGAGCCCGCCCGGCGGGAGTCGGGGGGGAAAGATGGACGACCCGGCGGTGGGCCGATCGACTCCTCTCTGGGTTACGCGACGGTCGATGACTGGCTACTCCGCGCGTGGCTGTCCCCCCTGGTGCGACCGTCCGCCCGGCATCCAACCCCGTGATCGAAGCCAAGGCTCCGACCGATGGGTTCGGGTCTGATCGTGGGGAGTGCGGCAGATTGTCTCGGATCGGGGCCATCCATTCGTGTGTTCCTCCGGCTGCTTCCCCCAAGGACGCGGGGAGGGAGGGGGGTGATTCGTCGGCGTTTCGGGCATGACAACCCGGGATTCGCGGCACGTGCACGAGACCCCATTCGTACGGGTCATCGTGGCCGTGCATGATGGGGATCGAGCAGCCATCGCGTCGTCCCCCGGCCAAGGGGCTGGCGGCAGAAGGAAAGCCCATCCGCCGTGTTGGACCCAAACCCGAGCTGATGAGGCCGACACGGGCCATCGAAGCCGCCCCCCCGTCCGCTGCTCGGGGCCGAGGAGGGCTCCTCGTGTGCCAGGCCCGCCGATCGTGCCACGACGATGGACCGATCCCAGGGGGGGCGGCCTGGAAAGCATGGGCATAGGCAGAATACCCTGTCGCGGAGGGCGGCTTGTCCACCCCCCGCTCCGAAACCAGCCCCGCCGATAGCCGCCCCATTGGGTAACCCCGCCGGCACTCCCGCCCCCCCGTCCGTGCTCCTCCCTCCCCATTGGGGAAAGTAGCCCGACGGAGGAGCATCCGCTCGGGGTGTCCACGTGGGTGCTGCGGGATATCTCTGGGCTTGCTGCTCACACCCCCCTGCCGGGGGTCATTCATCCGGCCACCGATAGCCCATTCCGGGGCGTGTGTAAGCGTCTGGCGTACGAGGAGTGGTGAACCCGTTCCCGGACCCGCTCCAGGGGAGGGGGATTCCCGGGCGAAGGGCATCATGGCTTGGGATCTGCGGGAGCGGCGAATCAGGGCCAGGGGTTGGGGGTCGTGGTGCAAATAAGGGGGTTTGGGGATCGTGGCCTCTGGAGCCGCATCCGCGGGTGTGTCTTCGGGGTCGTATGCGCCCAACCTCCCAGTGGCCCCATGGGCGGACCGGTATGTTCCACTCCATCCGCCGATGATCGATCTCGGGCCGGAGTAAGGGCATCGAACGGGGCGACGCCCCGATGCATGCATGGGAGGTTCCTTGGTCCGAGAGAAACCCTCAATGGGGTCGGCCGCGGTCTCCATCGCCTCCTCGACCATGGACCCACCCGCCTTGCTCACCGTGAGGGGTCTCGACCCGACCCGCGCACCACAGGAAGGGTGAAGGGGAGGACAAGGCGCGGCCCGGGAAGAGTATGCGGATGGGCGGCCTCCACCCACCCCCCGCTCCTCGACCACGGCCATACTACGGAATGGGGTGTGCTCTCGGGCGGGGTAGCCGCGGCTTCGGGGTCTACGCGGTGCGCGGGTCGGGTCGGGCCGACCCTCAGAAGAAGCCCCGATTCCTGGTGGTGGTATGAGCATTCCGGGTGTTCGAATCAGGAGCAGAAAGGAGTATGTCATCTGTTGTCCGGTCGGGTGTGTCTTCTGTGGTTTCGTGGGCGGGGATGGAGATGGTATGCACCACCCCTTTCTGCGGCCCGCCTCCCCCGACCGGGCAAACACACCCACTACCAGCCAACCAAAAAGCCCCCTGTCTCTCTCCCAGAGCGGCGGACCACCCAACCCAACCGGCGCGCTGCTCTGCACCATCGGAAAGGCGACCCGACCGCCGCGCCCAGAGCTGCCTCTCTCTGCCCGTCG